TTGCAGATTTGCCCGTATTCCAAGCAGAAACTCTGAACGATCGAATCTTTGATCAGTAATGTACATACACGGAACATCGTTAGCCCCGCGAATCAACTTCTGCGTTTACCAGCGTGCATAATTCATTCGCGCGTTTGACGTATGTAATAATAGAAACAATGGAACAACAGGCCACGGTAACGCGACAGCAATAACTCATCACTGTCCCTGTGTACATAACTCCTCGGCCGGGCTATCTTTTGAGACACACCGTCGTTGTGTGTTGTTGATTAATCAAACCGAATAATCTGGTCGAACTGAATTCAAATAATACGCCTTCCCCGCCTTCCTCCCCCCTCCCTCATTGCTCCCGCCACACTAGCGACAATTTCGACCATTCTGGTGTAAACATTAATATCCAGCGACACGGAGAAGATGGCCCGTTACGCATGTGACGCGACGCGACGCGACGATCGATGGGAAAAATTGTTCAGACACAAGATTGCTTGTCACGTTGTTTGCCCATTAAATTCTATACTTCTTTGCTTCTACGTGTATTAATACGTGTACGAAAAAATTTGCATTGTTCTAAGGGACAGCGTACACACCTTTTTGATTTTGTTTTTCAGGTTATGTAAATGTATTTTAAGAGAAAAACTTTTTATTATAGAAAATATATATCTGGTTCTAGTAGCCGTATATTTTAAGGGAGAGCATATATACTTTTTTAATTTTTTTTTTTAGGAACGTAAATGTATTTTGAGGGAAAATTGTTTGCTATAGGAAAGAGTATATCTGGATCTAACAACGGTAATTTATTTTTATATGATCTGCTTTTGTTTTATTCTATTTACATATATGTATGTCTCTTAAGCATGTTAATTAACAATGTAGGATATAATGAGATTGAAGGTAAAAGAAAATATTAGGTTATGATGGATTAGATTAATTTATTGTGGATTAGGTTAGGTTGAAAAAGTCTTCCGTATGGAATTCACATTTATCTCTGTTCCACATCTTTATTACCCGTATTTCATATTTCAATTAGCAATACGTAAACATACGTACAAAATTGCAGCTGAAAGCAGTTCCTGCAACAGAAAGATCCTCAATTTTTTATACCAATTTAATAAGGATATCCTCAATAAATCCTGAATTGCTATCAAATTTAAAAGATATAATACTTACGTACTCAATCCAATCATTGTTCGAATTATTTCCACTTAAACGATCGATTCTCGATTTTCTTCTAAATAATATCAGTACACAATATCATCTTCGATGATTTGTCCACGTGAAACTCGAACAGTTCATTAACTTAACTAATCTGTTTCCCGATGACAACTGTCCATCAGAAAACTCCCCATGGAACTATCTAAAATTCAATATCCGATTCAATTTATTCAAGGAATCTACTCGATTATTTT